TATCCAGTTAGTTTTTTTAGACTATATTTATCTTATACTTTTATTGTTATATTCTGACCTAACTATGGTTTCTAGATGTCTGTCTTTGATTGACTATGCAGTAACTTACAGTAATTAGGCTTTTATTATTTCAGCAAATTTCTCATAATGACTATTATAGCAACTATCTATTTCTGCCCAACATTACCCCAAAATTTAGCAGCATAATACAACCAACGCTTTGTGAAGATCAGGAATCCACCAGGGCTTACCTGGATGGTTCTAATTTATGGTGAAGATGAATTGTGGTTTAGATGTCTGTGAAGCTGCTGCAGTCACCTAAAGCTTCTTGGGTGCTGTTGGATCCATCCATGACCTAGGTGACTAACTCCCTTGGCTGTTGGCATGAGGCCTAGGTTTTTTGCCACATAGGCCTCGCTGTGAGGCTGCTTGAGTGTCATTATGACATTTAACCTGGCTTCCCTCTGAAAGAGTATTTCAAGAAGCAATCTCTGAAGTGCCTTTTAGAATCTAGCCTTGGAAGTTACATTTATTTGTTTCCATTTTATTTGTTAGAAGTGGGAATTCATGGGAGGGAATTAGGATCCTCTTTTTGAAGGTAGTATTAGCATTTGTGGACATTTTAGATCATGCAATGCAAATATCAATGTATGGTTGCCTCTTGTGTGTCCCCTGCTGGGAACTGGCCTGCAACCCAGGTATGTGCCCTGACTGGGAATCAAACCATGGTTGCTTGATTTCCAGGCCCGTGCTCAATCCACTGAGCTACACCAGCCAGGGCTTTTTTTTTTCCGGTATATATTTTTTTAACTGTGAAAAAAATAATCACTTATGAACTGTAGTTTGTAGTCTCGCTGTGGTAATATAAACTGTATTATTACTGTTCGTGATGGCCCCTGGACCATGAATTTATTTTATCAGTGAATGCCAGATACATACATATGATGTTAATGCTTTTATTAATCTGATTTTTAAATGAACACTGGTGTTTGGGGCCCTCTTGGTTCTTAGAAGGCCATTTCACACAGAGTCATCACTTTAAATCTCTTTCTATACAATTTGCATAACAGATTTATATCGTCAGTTCCAAATGTTTCCTTTAAGGTTCAGAACCAAATGCTTTTAGACATTCCCTTTGTTCCAAAATTGAATCCCTCATCTCTTCTCATTCCTTTAAAAATCCACTTGTCCCCACTACACATACTTGCTCATGCCAGAAATGGAAGGATCTTCTTTGACTCTTCACTTCCCCACATCTAATCTGTTACCAAATCCTACTGAGTCTATTTTTTAAGTATATCTTGAATTCAGCCACTGTAGCACTTCCACTGCCCTAATGTTATCTACCATCATACCTCTCCTAAACTCCTACAGTACCCTTCTCACTAGTCTATTTGCTTCTGTTTTTGTCTTTTCCAGTCCATGACATAGAAACCAGATAATTGCCTTCCCATCCCCCTTAGATTTAAATTCCAACTCCTTCATATGATCTTGCCTAACTTGGTTTTTGTATTTTGTCTCTTCAGCCTCACCTTCCACCACACTACCCCTCATTCTGAACATTGTTCTTTCCTCTTCCCTGCCTCAGGATCTTTGCACAGGTTATTCCTTATGCCTAAACACTAGCTCCCCTTTTGTTTTTAGCTAACTCTTACTCTTCAGATCTCAACTTAAATGTCGCTTTTCATTATTCTCTTGACCTCTCCATTCAGTTTAGATCACTCACTCACTCAAATCGCTCCAGGACCTAGCACTTTTCCTTCTTTGATGCTGCAAGTTACAGTCATTTGTATTGTCCTGCTTGATGTCTGAATATCTTGTCTTGTTTCATGACTATGAACTCCGTGAAAGCTGGGTTTATTTTGCTCTCATCACTCTATTCTTGTTAAGAGAATCATGCATATAATAGGCATGTTAATAAACAGTAAATTAACATTCAGTGTCAAGAATACTGTTCACACAGGATTTCAGAGTTGGAAGGCATCTGATGAATCATTGAATTAGTGTAGTCTCATTTCCATCATGCCTGTCATGTCATTGACGAAAGTGCATTCATACTTTCTTTCTTTGATACTCTTGAGAGCAAAGACCTCCAGTCCTTTCACTTGTATCTCAAGTATAGTCATTTCTCTATAATTTTTGTTCTTGTCATTCTTCTCTAAGGTTTTTAAGAGGCCCAACCAGGTGGCATAAAGTAAGGTAGTTACTTACCCTCTTTGATTATAGCAGTGTGCTTCCATCAGTGCTTGATAAGATTGACTAATGTCTTAGCAATTGTCATAAGTACTGATGCATAGTGAGCTTATAATCATAAAATTTTTCTTTTAATAATTAGGGATTTTCATTGTTAAGTTACAAATGGGGGATTTGAAATCATTTTTACCTTTAGACCTTCCTTGGCCAATAGCTGTTCTCCACATAAGTTATTACAGGTTTTTTAGTCTATAAAAATTTTTTGCAGATTGGATTGTCATAGATAGCACCTGTTATTTCCTGTGCCCAGTTGGTAAGTGTGTTATAAACATGTATGCAATGAGGAAATTTGTATTGAGCACCTACTCTGTACCCCTCTCTAAAATACTTTATAATGTGTAGTTTACATAATGTTATGTACATAAAATATCCAGCAGGCAATCAGTATAGGCAGTTAACATCTGGACTCTGGAATCAGATCTTCTTGATTAGAATTATAGTGCTGCCACTTAGCAACTGTTTGATCTTTGACAAATTTCTTACTTTATATCAATTTCCTCACCTGTAAAATTAAGTAATAATTGTACCTATCTTATATGGTAGTTGTAATGAGTTGATACATATATTCAAAGCATTTATAATGCTGCCATGAATATGTGTTAGCTGTCATCTAACTCAGTTTTCAAAATAACTGTTAATAATATAATTCCAGTTTTACAGATGAGGAAACTCATCCAGAGATGTTAGGTTACTTCTTTAAGGCAGATCCAGGATTTGAACTGTACCCAGAGTAGCAGAGTGACAGATATTTATGTCACTTTGGAAGGATTCACACATAATACTTTTTGCTCTGAGAGGGACTGTGAGTGTGGCAGGCACTTCAACCACCCTACAAGGTACCTTGGTTGTACCTCTAATGAGACAAGACCACGTTTTAGGTTTAAATAAATTGATGAAGAAACTGACACTGAAAGATGGAATCAATCATAGCAATCAGTTTCCTGCCCAAGACTGTGAGCTCCTTGAAACAGAAGTCATGCTCATATTCTTTTTTCTAGGGCCTTACACTTACAGATAAATATGTACTCAAGAATGTTGTTGGTGAATGAGTGAATGAATTAGTAAGGAAAAGTTTGGGGGAGTGAGAGCTAGAGCTGGTAAGGGAAGCAGAATGATGCCAGAGGGTTTCTGGTGCGGGTGACTATACAGAGAGCTTCACCCTTCACTGTGATAGCAAGTGGAAGGAGGAAGAGGCAGGTCTAAAGGAGTCAGAAGGAAAGTTAGTGAGTTTGATTTAGACAGGTAGGCTTATAATCCTAGTAGAGATACTTAATAGGCAAATAGAAATAAAGAGAGAGAGAACAGGGTTGGATATATACTGGAAACTTGAATTTGGAACTTGGAACAAATGTCCCTGGAATCATAATTTTATAATGCCAACTTTCCCCAAGCAATAGTATTGTCACATTGTAGGTGTTATTTTGTGATTATTTTGGACTTTACATTTTACTCTCTCAGCACAGTGTATATGGGAAGCAAATTAATTCTATAGTAGAGAAGTGAGAAATTGTAGATTTTTAGAACTATGCCCCATATATAAAATGTACAATATAAATGATATCTCACCATAAACCTTATTTCCTTAATATTGTAAGTGCCTTTGGAGAGCTAGTAAAAGTGAAAAATTCTTAGGTAGGTGAAATAGAAAGCTAAGGTTGTTTATGATAGAAATTATGCCAGCATTGTGTCATACATAAACAAAATCTTTTTCATTTAAGAATAGTGCAGGCTGGCCTTAACTGTTGTGGCTTAGTGGGTTGGGCTTCCTCCTGCAAACAAGAAGGTTGCTGGTTGGATTCCTGTCAAGGCCACGTACCTTGGTCCTGTTTGGGGCATGCAAGAGGCAATGGTACATTGATGGTTCTCTTCCTTTCTCACTCTCTCCCTTTCTCTGTCTCTGAAAACAAACAAACAAATAAAATTTTTGAGAATTTAGGCTGGAGTCAATAAAATCAAATTGCCTGAACCAATAGGATGGAAAAGAAAACAGATTCACATTTACACAAACTAGCCTTTTTTTGTGTGTTACCTGTTTATTTTATTTTATTTTTTTTTTTTATTTAGTTATTTTTCAAGTACATTTTTTTGTCTATTTCTCCGTTTATTTTATAATTGCTGAATCTTAAATGGAGAGGTTATGTTTCACCTCATCCATATTAAAAGCTCAATTTTATTCTAATAAAGACAGATTTGCAGTATTTTAAGAAAATAATTTTATTTAAGGGACATTTCTATTGGTTTTGCTTTAATGATAATGCATTCGGCATATTTAAGTGTGATTTTCTAGGTAGGCTTTCTCTTCTGTCTATAGAATAAATTATTAGAAAGATCCAAGACATTTTTATCACATCTACTAGGATTTGAAAGATTATTAAGATGAATAATATAGTATTTTAAATTCAACTTTTCCTGTTTTGTTCTTAATATATTTAGAAATTTTCTTGGCAGTTAAAAAATAATTATTTTAGTGCAGCCAGATTAGACCGTTGATATTATTTAGTATATTTTTCATGTTTTACATATGGTTAATCTAAGGTCAGGGGAGGTGATTACCCATTACTAAATTATTTAAACTTTTGTATTATAGTGCCTTTTTAAAAAAGAAAAAAGAAACAAAGATAGCTTTAGTCTTTAAAAACATATTTCATTGTTAAAAGTTATGTTTGGGCATTTGTTTTTTCTCTTTGTTTTTGAAAACTTCAGAATTCAGTCATATTCATTACCTTTTTCATATTTTTGTCTTTCAGGAGTCAGGAAAAAGCAGTGGAAATTGGAGTCACTGTAAAGTCATTAAGACCTTTTACAAGAAAATCTCACTGAATAAAAGTCTTCTAAATTAGTGGCATAACAAGACCAGTTATTACAGGTGACAGTGTACAGGAAACATTAAAATTGAACAATGACTCAGCTATATATTTACATCAGATTGTTGGGAGCCTATCTGTTCATCATTTCTCATGTTCAAGGTAAGCCACTGTTCATTTAAGCAATCTTATCTTTTTAAATAATTTATTTCTGTATCTCAAAAAGCATTTTTTTCTTACTGCTCTTTCAGCTCATGTACTTTTTGATTACTTAGGCCCATTATCACAGTATAATTTTTAACTAAGTTGGCAAAGAACAGATATCCCAAATAAATTTTGAACTTGACTGTGATAGAAATATTTTCAAGTATTTGTAAAATCTCAGCCTCTCTGAACTTATTCTCTTATTCATGACATAGGTGTTATGATATGTAGTGTCAGGTCTTGTGAGGATTGAATGAGATAAAGTATAAAATAAAGTACTTGACCTATTGCCTAAGGCACAGAGTAATTAGATACTTAAGACTTAATGGTAGTTTAAAACTCATGTCTTCTTTAAAGTACAGTAAGGAATAAATGTAAATAACTTAAAAAATCATTGTTGTTAAAAGACTTCAGAAATATAAATGGCACTTATGTATGCTGAGTACTAGAATTTCTTCATTAAGTACTCGGTTTTTTTTATGACCCATATTTAATATTACTCTGGTGTGTTCATAGCTTGGAACTTTCAAACAGGAAGTTATGATAACTCTTAAAATCAAATGGACTGTATTTGCATATGAGCTTTTTTCCTGTATGATTTAATCAGGACAATATTTTAAACTAAAAAGAAAGTACTATTTTGCAAAAGGATTTCAGATACAACTTGCTGGACATCTTTATTATGTTAAGTTTATGACAATAGATTACTCATTCATGTTTTGTTCATTGTGATAATGGATTAATATCTACTAACAAGAAAAAAGATGATTAACAGCATAATTTTTTTTATATTTTCACTTTAAACCGTAAACATAATAATGAATTCTATAGCTTCTTTGTATTTTGTCCTAGGTATGCTACCCTTCTTATTACAATGCTCAGAATACAAAGCCCTCTTGTAAAAAGCCACATTTTAAATGAAATACATTATTTAATAAAACACCTTTATTTTAGCATCTGTAGTCCTTTTAGCAGCTGTTGTTTGGAACATGAGTTAAATAAATAACATTCATATCTGCTACCTCGCTACCCGGTAATCTCTGTTTAGTATTTACAAAATACTTAATCTATGTAGATCACACAGAGTCAGTATGGTACAAGATTCTCATTCTCCATCCTGATTCAGGTTGTTCTATACTTAACTTTTTTAGATGACATAATTTGGTAACTAATTATCAGGCATAAGTGGAAAATCTTAATTAGAATTATATTTCTCTGACAAAGAACAAAATTTGTTATATTCATTTCAAAAAGGATTAGTTTGTAGTAGCTTTAAATGGTAAGATAAAAACATTTGCTCTTAAAGAAAAGAAAGAACTACAACCAGTGTAGAGGGGGAAGCCAATGAAGGAAAAATGGTATTTTCAGAGATTACTAGGTAGGATTGCAGACTAATGTTAATGGAAGTAATTTGACTTTTGCCCCATCTTTATCTTGAGTTTTGTCTTGAAAAAATAAGTTTTCCCTGGCTGGTGTAGCTCAGTGGATTGAGCGCGAGCCTGAGAACCAAAGGATTGTGGTTCGATTCCCAGTCAGGGCACGTGCCTGGGTTGCAGGCCAGTTCCCAGCAGGGACCAGTTCCCAGCAGGGGACGCATGAAAGGCAACCATACATTGATGTTTCTCTCCTTCCCTTCCCCTCTAAAGATAAATAAATAAAATCTTTATAAAAATTTTAAAAACTGCCTCTCTTTCATTTAAAAAAAGTTTTCTTGTACCTTGTTAGCAAATGGAGATAATAATACTTATCCTAAATAAAAACAGTAATATTTTGAGCACCAAACATTTTGATATAGATTAAAGTACTTTTACATTGAGATAAAGTTACTCAAGTTGCAACAGAAGAATGTCATCTGATTGTTAGTCCTTGTTTTTGACATGAGTTACCTTTAAGTTAAAATTACCTAATAGTGACATAAATAAATAGAAATTTATTTATTTGTTTTACATAGATGATAGATGTTTTATGGTATTCATTCAATAGTTGAGTAGTATCAAGACTGACATCTCTGTAATTTTCTTGACTTTTCCCTCCGGGTTATAAAATGGCTGCTATTATTTGCATTGGGGGAAGGGGAAAATGGCCTCAGCTGGACCTTATATCAAGAAAGCAAAAGTGTTCCCAGAAATTAACCTCCCACCAGCTGACTTTGTCTTATTTTATTGGTTAAACTGAGACACTTGCTAGGGTTACTGGGAAACAGAATTGCTACAGTCAGCTTAGGTTACTAGCTAAATCCACTGCCTAGGGTTGGACACGTTACCTACCCCCAGGCTAAGTCAGAATTCTATTAGCTAGGAAAACCAGAAGGGATGGAGGAATAGAAAATCCACTGGGCAACTAAAAGAGTCCGAAACAGATTTTATCTTTTTTTTTTTTTCAATCAAGTGAGATGTTTTCAGCATTCAGTAACAAAAGCCCAGAATAAAGTAGCTTAAACAATTAGGAAAATTTAATATCACACATCAAAAAGTCTGAACATAGGAGTACTCCAAGTAATTAATTCCTTAGCTCTTCCAGTTCTTTTTCTATTTAAGCTGTGCTCTTCTCCATACAGCAATTTTAGCCATAGTTTAACTCACTTGATGGCCACAGTGGCTGCTGAGGGGCTAGGTATAATGTGCAGATGTAGAAACTGAACTGACAACATTCAGTGTAAGAAGAGAGTTGGATGTCCCCTTTTACTTGGTAAAGAAATCTTTTCCCAGGTACCTCCATACAGCAAACTTCCTTCTAATTTTATCTGGCAGAATTTAGTCTATACTCTTGTATAAACAATGGCTGGGGGGATGGAACTAAAATTGAGATTAGACAGTTATCTCTACTGAGGGTAGGGCTGTGCCTCCCTGGGTCACACAAAGGAGGAGCAAACACTTAAAAAAATGTGTGTAAGCCCTGGCTGGTGTGGCTCAGTGGATTGATCACGGGCCTGTGAAGCAGAGGGTCACTGGTTCGATTCCCAGTCAGGGCACATGCCTGGATTGCAGGCCAGGTCCCCAGTAGGGGGCGTGTGAGAGGCAGCCACACATTGATGTTTCTCTCCCTCTCTTTCCCTCTCTCTAAAAATATATAAATAAATAATTTTAAAAAGTGTGTGTGTGCGCAGCCACCAAGGTAAAGGGGAATAAAACAATTAACAGCTATCTGTTGTCTGTGTTTGTCTACCTAGCATCGTGCATACCATTTCTCACAGGTACATACTAAAAGTGCTCGTGTTGATGTGATATATTCAATTCCTTCTCACAGGAATTTATAATGCAGAGTTTCATCTGCCCAGTGTACTCAGCTACTAATCCACAACTTTTGGGTTGTATGCAGCATTCTCTATCAGGTTCAGATGTGATTCTTCTTGGTCCAGCAGTGCATGTCTAAGAGAGAAATTATTGATGCCCAACACACCCAGTATTTAATGATGAGGAAGAAATAGGGTCAGTACTATATAAGCTAGCTCCCAATCAGAGGAAGAAAGACTTGCAAAAAACCTTCAGTAATCATTGCTCTATAGCACATAGAGTAAGGAAAACTACCGTTGTTGGTTACTTTGTACATGCAGTGCATTGATATCCCATTGGTCTCTCCTGTCTTTTGCCTTCTGATCCCTCTTGTAGATATTTTATCTTAAGGATAGGGAAGAGGGAGTTCCTCTTCTTTATCCAAAAGAATCCAAGAAATTGCTGGGAAGGTAGGAAAAATTATTAAACAGGAATGAAAATTCAGTAAAATCAGTGATGCCAAAAGCTTCTACTAAGGACAAAGGAGCCTGGTGTAAATGCACCTATTTATATAGTCACTTGTATCTTTCAGCTGTGTGTGTGTGTGTTTCTAAGTATGTAAGCTATGACATATTTTTTGCATGTGTTTGTCTTGAAATATGATATATAGCCCCAGCCACCCCATGTCTCTTCATTTTATACTTTTGTAAACACAGGACTTGTGATTGGGAACTGACAGAGGCCAGTGTGCCTGAGCATGATAGAGGGGTGCTGAGAATTGATGTTGGAGAGGTAGATACACAGAATCCAAATCCTGTTGGGCCTTATTCAATAGGCATGGTGAAGGAGGTTGGATTTTATTCTGAGTGTATATGAAGGCATTAATTGTTTTTTTTTAATGTTTTATTATTTATGCCATTACAGTTGTTGCAATCCCCCCTCCTTCCCTCTCCACCCTGCTACTCCCTCAGGCAATCCCCACACCAGTTGTCCATGTCCACAGGTCATGTATATATTAATAGGTTTTAAGCAGTGGAGTGACAGGATCAGCTTTGTGTTTATAAGATAATTGTTTGCTGTGTGGGAAAGGGATTGGAGGGGCCAAGAAGAGAAGTATTGGATGGAGATCAGTATCTGGAAGTGGCATAATATAAAAGGCCTAGGTAATAACAGTGGAGTTGGAGGAAAAAATTAGATATACAGGGTCTGGTAGAAGTAATGCTATTGAGTATGATTGGTAGGGTACATGAATGTCTTGCATGAGACGAACAGAAATTCAAACATTTCACCTAAAATGTTACATGGTGTGCTTGAGCATGAAACTGTTATGTTACAGAATTACATGCTTATGATTTTGTAATAAAAGATTTTTATGTAATGAAAGGGGCATTATTTGTGCCAGACCCTGTATTTTAGAAGTTAAGCCAAAAGACTGCAGGAGGACCATGTTAGAGGAGAAAAGATAGGAGTTCCATTTTGGAAAAGTTAATTTTGAGTTACTTAAGGAAGTCAAGGCTGGAGGGGTAAATCAAGGAACCATCAAAAAAAGATCTGGTTAAACCATGGGAATGGGTGCTGTTACCTAAGGAGAGAGTACAGAGAGGCTTTTGCTAGTTTTTTGGGGTTTTTTGTGGTTTTTTTTTTTTTGCATCCATGCCTTAGCAGAATCTTACAATTTTAAGATATGGTTCAGATTCCATTGATTTTTGACACCCTAAGATAAATCAGCTTCCTCCTTTGTTTGTATAACACCTTTGTATTGTATCACTCTTCACATTGTGTTTATTTAGGTGCTTATCACTCCCTCCCTGTCACCTTCACCTTCCGAGTTTCTTAAAGATCAGATCAGTTTCTAGAACTCAGTACCTTGCATGCACATACTAAGCCTCTAATTAGTGCTTTGTTAGATATTTGGGATCTTATAAATCCCAGATGCACGGAATTGTAATTTGTTTTTATCTCTTAAATTGAGATACTTTTCTAGGAAGTTATGTTTGCTAATGATCATATAACTTTGAATTTTTCAGGTACTAGTAATCTCTTAGTATAATCTTTGTTATTAGTAATATTTTTACTTGCATGCTATTTTATATTTAATTAAGTCTTTTATTATATATCCATTTGATCTGTATGTAACCTGATTTGAATTGGGCAGGTATTATTACCTTTTTTTTTGATAGATAAAGACTTGAGGTTCAGAAAGTTAACTTATCTTTGGACATAATCAGGACTTGAACCTTTAACTTTACTACTTCAGCATTATTTCTACCACACTGTACTACTTTTTCTGTGTCATTAGATTTTTGAAAAATTAATAGCATGTGATACATTATTTGCCATTTGTTCTCTGTAGTTAAATTGATGCTTTCTTCATTGCAATAGGATTTTAAAGCTAGTTATGTGACCTCAGATGTCCTCCAGTTGTATGGTCTTATTGAGTAACATGGCTTATCCGTAATCCAGCTAGCTAAATTGTGATAGAACCATAATAGACCAGAATCCAGGTTCTTCTTATTTCCAGCTCAGTGGATTTCTTCCCTTCCTTCCCCACCTTCCCCTACTTAATTTTATAGTTGACGTTCTTAACATAAACAAAGTCTTTAAGTTTTATAGTAATTTAGGGGATTAAGTGAAGATTATTAAAATTCAAGGTGTGTAATCACTAAAACTTAGCAGCACATTCTTTTTGTATTATCAGTGCAAATATATGTGTTATTTTTTTTCTCTTTTTAATAGTTTATCTCACCAGTCTGGCTAAGTTTAAAGTCAGGTCTAAACTATTAAAACTTGAACCACTTATTTAACATTTTTCATTAAAAACCCAATTCTCTTAATGTTTCATACCTGTTTGGCTCTACATTTTATTCAACTCTAGCAGATTTCAGCCATTCATAGGGAAGAAGGAATTACTAAAACATTTAGTTCTCTTCTGCTTCAGCCTGAAAGATTCAGTACCAAATATGGCAGTAGCTGTCTAGTAGCTGTCATTTGAAGCTACTAGACTCTAATGGGAGAATAGCCTTCAGTTTCTGGCAGCAGATTCTGGATTTGAACCCATGACCTTGAGATAAAAGGCACCAGATAATATTAGTCCCCATGTTCTCACAATTTCCTTACTTAAGCAATTAAAGTCCAAAGTAAGATGCTTAGTAACTCCACTTCTGTATAAAGGCACAAATAAAGGACTTATTTTTTTAAGCTAGTCACAAGTTTTGAACCAAAGAATTTAAGAAAAGAAACATATTTTCTGTTTTTTAATCATTAAAGCTATGACTGCCTTCTGTGAAATTGCTTCCATGTACCTTTCTTAAGTTATGACCATATTCTACCTTGTGCTATTGTTTGTCTTTCACCAATGCAAAAATTATGGTGTTGTCAAGTCCATATATCCCATAATACCTGGAATAGTAGTTCTGTGTATAATAGGTTATTAATAAATGTCTGTTATTTGTGTATATGAAATATACTTTTAATTAAAGATACACATGACCTGTAGTTACTATGATAAGAAAGCTTAGAAACTTTTCTTGTTGAAAACTGAAATCAAAGAATTAGCTTTTCAGAAATGGTTTGAATTTCATATATGATTACAGGGCAGAATCTGGACAGTATGCTCCATGGTACTGGAATGAAATCAGACTCCGAGCAGAAAAAGTCAGAAAATGGAGTAACCTTAGCACCAGAAGATACCTTGCCCTTTTTAAAGTGCTATTGCTCAGGACACTGCCCTGATGATGCTATTAATAACACGTGCATGTAAGTATTTTATGCAGCCTTTCTTAAAGTTAGGAAAATAGGGTTGCATTTAATGCTATTTTTGCAACCCTATAAATGCTATAAATGCAATGATATTTACATTGTCTACGGTTTTTTTTTCTTTAACTTTATAATGTCTTCCAAAGAGCTGAAAGCTTTTTGTTCTATATAGAGGAACATTTATTACTATTGGTTAATGGTTACTTTCTTAGAGTAACATTGTAATACAGCTTTTTAACAAGATAAGATTGTAGTCTTTGTCTAACATTTAGAGTTTATTTAATGATTTCTTTATCATAAAGTCATTGATATTCATTGAGAATTTGGGGCTTACCAAAAAGAAAACATGAAAATTCCACCAAAACCTCATAATTTTAAATTGTCTGAAATATTTTACAGATATGTAAGAATGATATTATGATGTTTAATTTTGTTATCTTCTTACAAGCAGACTCCCCAATCCAAATCTGATTTATATAACCAGTTTAATTTTCCTGCTTAATTTTATGTTCACTTTTCAACACATTATATATGACTATGTAATTCTATTCCATATTTGAAGAATTGGTTTACTAGCCAAAAAAGAATCCCCTGAGCACCTCAATCTCATCAGTCAATTAATTGTCTCCCTCTATAAAGATAATAATCAATGTCTTATTTTGTACTTTCCTAATAATTGTATGCTCTTTGAATGTGACCAGATATAAACCATAAATGTTTACATGTAAAATCTTGAAATTATATGATGGCTCTTTACATCCTAAATTGGTTATTTGTCCTCTGATGGTGGTTGACTTTATTGGGACAGGCTGGGCAATCTGTGCCATTGGATATTGCTCCCCACTTTATCAACAAGTAATTTCTTGCCACACTTCTCATCCATAGTGCCTGTCTGATACGTGTAGGCTGTTTGATAATGACTGAGTAACCCCAAGTAAAACTGAATCATCAATTTTATCTGAATTTCACCCCACACTTAACATTTTCTCTGAACAGAAAACTAAACTTCTGTGAGATTCTGTTAAGTAGAAGCAATACACTTACTCTGATACAAAGAGTAAGTAGGAGCATACAAAAAGCTTTTAGAAGTTTTTTTCTATCCATTAAAGTGTAAATAAATATTAGGAGAAAACTCCAGGATACTGTTACATTATATAATATTAATAAAATTTCATTAAATACAAGTACATTTATGTAAATTTCTTGAAAATTCATCTAGTTCTTCCTTTTTATGTTCAGTAAAAAATGCCTCTTAAGATCTTAGTCTTTTTTAAAATATACTTTGTTACTAAGTCTGTTTTTACTTCACAGGAAAGTTGTGAGTATTTATTATTGTGTACAGTATGTGAACACTGAACATTTTATGAATTTAAAAAGTTTTTTTTTAATTATGTTTTTAAACTTAAGATGATTGACTTTATAAAATTTCACACATCAACTTTCTGTAATCACGTGACTATAATTATCAAAGAGAGGTTACATAATGAATGGTACTTGGATGACTTGTTTAATAGGAATCCTTTTCCACCTGACATAAGGTTCTTAGTGGGTCTTTGGGTTTTAGTTCAGCTATGACAACTTTCTTTTGCCTTAAAACCTGTGTGCCTTGCCAATTAATCACATGTGAATGCAATTTTAATTTAAAAAACAAGGTACCTGGTCACATTCAAACTCATTTTAATCAGTACTTTCTGATACTATGTTTTGTTTTGTTTTTGTTTCTGTTTTTGGTTTTTTGTTTGTTTTTTGTTTTTGTTTTTAGTTTTTTAGAGTTTTATTTTTGTTTTCATTTTTTTAGAACTAATGGGCATTGCTTTGCCATCATAGAAGAAGATGACCAGGGAGAAACCACATTAGCTTCAGGGTGTATGAAATATGAAGGATCTGATTTTCAGTGTAAGGTAAGATCTAATGTGGGGCCCAGGAAATAAAGAAGGGAGGGACCACTAAAAAAGTACTGACTTCCCCCAGGAGAGGTGTGCCTGGTCTGTACCTTGGTTTATGCTCTTGAAGCAAACATATTTGGGGAAGCTTAGGTTTCACTTCAAGTAAAATACGATTGTGGTAAGTGAAGTTCCAGATTACTTTTTAAAAGTATTAAATTATTCTTTTTTAAATTGTAATGGCTGCAAAGTGATATTGTCACTCTTATTTGTGGATTATGAAAATCAAAATATTTTAGGTGATGGGCAGTAACCTTTGTATCACGTTCTGAGACAACTTAGAAATGGTAAATCCTTGTAAGGAGATCTCAGTGGAGTTTTTTTTTTAACAACAGCAGCAAAGGAATTGGTATTGGTAATAATTTATGAGCATCCTGGTGGCACTCTTGGTTATAAACCTAATCTTTTTAAAATTCTGTGTAGTAGCAGAGGGGAGGGAGATAATAGGGGAAAGAAAAGGAAGGGTCAAGTCGGAGAACATGTGTAAAGGACCCATGGACAAAGACAACAGGGGGTGGGGTGGGGATTAAATGTGGGAGGTAGGGGAGAGTAATGGGGGGAAAACGGGGACAACTGTAATTGAGCAACAATAAAAAAATTTTTTTTAATTCTGTGTAGTAATTTCCCCCTAGGGAACCTGCCAGTGTTTTTGAAAAGCTGCTCCAGATAGAACTATTGGTACACAACAAATTTAGGCCTTGGTTATTTTAGAAAATTACTTGAATAATTTAGAAATTCTCAGGATTGACAGAAACCTTAAAGGTTGTATGTTTCAACCTCTTGGCTGATGTTTGGAATCTACCCCTTCCCCCACTCTACCCACACAGTGCATTCCATAAATTTTGTATGTGTTATACCTCTAGTGACAGGGACTCACTAACCTCCCAAAGACCACCTGTTTCATCTGTAAAATGAACTGACTTGATCCTGAGAAAGCTTGTCCTCCCAATGACTGCAAATGTATCTTCCTTCCTGCCCCTTTGGGCCATAGAGGACAAATCTAATCCCCCTTTTAATGTGATAGCCTTTTACTATACAAAGAAAGCTGTTGGGGGATTTTTTTGGTTTGTTTGGTTTGTTTTTGTCCTGATTTCTTCCCCATCCGTTCTAGTGTTTGCCCATAAAAAAATAATGACTTTTCACAAAGTTCACAATGACTTCAGCTATTTCTTATATGATCAGATTTAGAGTTACTCTCCAGAGAGTAGGTCATTCCTTTCCTTTTTTCTAAATATAGCCAAATCTCATGTTAGATGTTCGTCACCCAATATTCTAGAAACATTGAGCTCTGTCAGCTGAAATGCCCATGTCTTTCACTTATGCTACTGCTGAGCCACATCTCTTTCATTCTTTATTGGTGGTGTTGGCTTCTTTACACAAATGAGTATACAGGAATGGAATGTTTGCTATACAGTTGTAACATACTTGTCTGTGTTAAATTTCATTATATTAGAATTAGTCCTTTGCTGTAATTTGTCAAAATTTGGGGGAATGCTGATTTGTTTTTTTTTTCTTCTAGTGCAGTTTTATGCCTTTTGTATATTTATCAACCACATGTACTATAAATTTCTTTAAAAATATTGAAGAAATATGCAGTCACTTAAAAAATACTGAATAAAGCTGTGGTTAGAGAACTGAGCTTAGCAGTAGCAGCTAGTGTGTCTTGCAGGCCCCCTGAGCTAGCCATGTCCCAAACTGAATTCACCAATGTAAGTTAGTTGTTAAGTTTGACAGTCTGCATTTAAATCCATACGCTCCCTCTTACTAGCTGTGAAACTTTGGGGAAGGAGTTTTACTTTTGTTTTCTCATCTGTAAGGATCAGATGAGATGCATATATGTAGAATTTTAGCACAAGCAGCACATACAATAGTAAGGGCTTAATAAATTTTGCTTTTAGCATATTGATGATGTAACTGAGCAGTCTTAAAGCTGGGTTACACGTATTAATGGATACATACAGACTACATTACGCAAGAATCACATAGGCACATGGGTAGTTTTTTTTTTTTATAAATTTTTTTAAAACATTTTTTTTTAAGATTTTATTTATTTATCTTTAGAGGGGAAGGGAAGGAGAGAGGGAGAGAAACATCAATGTATGGTTGCCTTTCGTGCATCCCCTGCTGGGAACTGGCCTGCAGGGAACCTGCCTGCAACCCTGGTATGTGCCCTGACTGGGAATCGAACCTTGATTGTCTGGTTCGCAGGCCCGCGCTCAATCCACTGAGCTACATCAGCCAGGGCGGCACATGGGTAGTTTAAAGGAAATCAATTTACAGATCCTAAACTTCCATATGTCCTATTGCTTAATATTGACCTGCCTAAGAACAGAGCCTCTAAAGCAATTCCTCTTTTTCTTCCCTTTTACTGTCACCCTTTTCCCAGTTTAAAGATCAAAGGCCTTGAATGTAAAATCTCAGGTTACCAAGTAAGGTTGTAATTTGAGATTTCATTGTGACTGTGGGGAAAGTGGGGATATCAGATATTTCCATGTCAGGTGGTTTTCAGATTTTTTGCTTTCAACAAAATTGCTTGGTTAATGAAAATAATTTTTGATAATAGGATCATTGTCGGGGTTTAAGATATGATTGGAAGGTCTTTATAACAGACTCTTCCATTATCATCTTTGTATTTATGTGAATAAAGTATCTAGAAAAATAGGGATAAAAATAGTGCCAAACTTTCTTATTTCACCAATAAGAAATACTTTTCTGTGAATTTAAGAACTAATTTCATCCATTATATAATCAGTAATTTTTTCTTTTAATGTTAGTATTTTAATAAAGATTATAAACATATATATTGTTTTGACCTATTTTATACCAAAAAGAATGATGATGATAAGTCAAACCAGAGTAATTTTTAAGACTTAAAGATATATTGTCACAGGAAATAAAAAACAGTAATTTATATTTACATATTTTTGATATGGAGAATTATGTATCAAAATATATTACTGGGGAATCTTATTGTGGGGGATGTGAAAAGGAAATAGGAATTCAATGAGGAAAAGGAACACTAACATTCCTAATTGTTAAACATTTCTTCGTTTTTTTAATTAGTGGTAAGTAGGTGTCAGATTGTTACATTATTTAATTATTAATTCTACTGAATAGACTTAAGAATGATATAACAGTTTTATTTTAAAATATCATTGTGTACAGCAAGCCAAAAGTTATTAATGAAAAATTTTAGGTATCACTCTAAAAATATGTGGGAGAAGGGATACATTGTTTAATTTTACCCTGAGCCTTTTCTCCCAGTGCTTTTACACATACAACTGCATAGGGATCAGAATAGATTCAAATGAGAATCACCCTGCTTGGCCCAGACTTGCCATGCCACGGTTTCTGTTAGTAAATCTAGCTTATTCTGTTTCTTTCTATACGATGAATTTTTTCTAAGAAATTGCTTGCCATTCCTTACAGTTTGACTTCATTTCCTTTTTCATGTACCACTCCCTCACCCCCTCCTGTCCAAGCTCACTGAATCTCCTATTTCATGAATTTCAAGTGAGTTTTTCCCTCACAAGGGTTTTTACTGCCCATATAAATCTGTAGATACAAATGGACTTGGTTGGAAGAGGGGAGGGAAGGAATGGGAAAGGAAAGGTTGTGTCAGCCAACTTCATTATCTAGACACTCCTGACTTTTGCCTACTCAGTTAACCTACATAAGAAGGATGTAAGGTGGGTTTGATGTTCCTTATTTTTGGTAAAATCATATTGAGTCTTCCAGGGGTTTACAGGCATTTTTGGCTTTCTGGAACCTTGATTAGGATCCATGCCAAGTTCACTAGAGGAAGAAGAATTAATTTATTGAATATTTGCTGTTTGCATTTAATATGCTGGGTACTTGGTATATTATACCTCATTTCCTGCCAGTTACCCTGTAAAACATATTTTTTATCCTCCATTTTACAGCAGAGGAAACTAAATCCAGAGAGAAGTAAGTTTATTGCTCATGGTCACAAAGTTTAGTAAGTGGCAAAGCTAGGATTTAAGCTATTTTATTCCAGAGTTTTCCATAATACCATGTTGCCTCGAATCTTATTGGTAAAGTCTATTTTCTTTCCCATTTAGAAAAGAAATAATAACATTTAGCTATCTAGTTTCTAACACTCCTTGTTTTAAAAATCTTTAAATTGTATCTTTCTGCCATCTGACAAGTGCTGTCATCTTCCTGTGATATCATTCACCTAGGTTAAAAGATAGAAGTTTTATAGAGTTATATAAAACAGTGAGGATCTCATAGAGCTATTAAAAACATTGTAGGATCTCTTTCACACATCTGGGATATCAGTTCCCACTTACTGGTGTTGTGTCTACCTTCTCCATTCTTACAATCATTCTTGGTAGAGAAGACAGAAATGAAACAGGAGTTGGAGAAATGTACCTTTTCTTTTTCCTTCATTGTCTACTATTTTGTCCCATTGCTTGGTGGTCTGTCTGCTAGCACTGCCAAAAAGGCCCTTTCTTGGTTTGAATTTTTTCTTCAGGGCTAAGCTCATTTTGAACTTTAGCATTCCTGGAACTATTCTTAGATGGTTGGCACTTTTATTCATCTTTAATTATGTACTCTTTATTCCATCATTCATGTAAGGATTTTTTTTTAAGATCTGGGATTATTTCAGAGTCACTGGTATAGCTTCTAACATGTTTCTTTCTCTTTAAAATCCATTGTTAGCCCTGGCTGGTGTGGGTCAGTGGATTGAGTGCTGGCATGCGAACCAAAGGATGCCAATTCGATTCCCAGTCAGGACACATGCCTGGGTTGCAGACCAAGTTCCCAGTACGGGGCGTGCAAGAGGCAACCACACATTGGTGTTTCTCTCCACATTCTTCCTCCCTTCCCCTGTCTCTAAAAATAAACAAACTCTTAAAAAAATAGAAAAGAAAATTGTCAGAAAGTAAAAAAATACTGTAAAACTTGTTCTTTTGGAGGTTTCCAGTGTTCTTGACCCATCTTCTCTTATAGAATCTCAAGTCATGGACTTTTCAGATTCATTTTTAAAGTAATACCTAATTATACTGAGATTTTACCTTCTGGCCATCTGGTTTTTAATAATAACATGGTCACCCTGGCTGGGTGGCTCGGTTGAAACATTGTACCATGTGCCAAAGGTTGTGGGGGTTCGATCCCTGGTTTGAGTACATACCTAAGTTGCGTGTTCGATACCTGGTTGGGGCATATACAGGAGGCAACCAGTCACTGTTTCTCTCCTTCTCTCCCTGCATCCTCCTCCTCCTCCCTTTCTCCCTTCCTCTGTCCCTAAAATCAGTGGGCAATATCCTTGGGTGAGGATTTAAAAAAATTTTTTTAAAGAATAACAGTCAATTTCTGCTTACATTCTTGCTACTTTTATAATAATAAACAGTTCCATTGTGATAGTCTCTTGGCCCAGAATGGCAGTTCTCCTGGGTAGTACTGAAATGTCAGCATTCAAGTTAAGAACTTATCAAGTACTGTACTGTTAGTCAAATAAAACTTCACACATGATTGTTGATATCTGTTCCCAGGACTGTAGTACATTCTGTGTGCTTGTGTTCTGATCTGTTAAGGACACATCTCATATCTGGTTTTGGTCTCTTTAAAACTCAGAAATACAGGACTTCCCGCCAAGATGGAGGTGTAGGTAGACACACTGTACCTCCTCACACAACCAAGGGCAACAACAATTTAAAAATGAAAAAATAACCAGTACTGACAGAAGATTGAACTGTATGGAAAGTACGACAACCAAGGAGTTAAAGTAGACACATTCATCCAGACTGGCAGGAGGGGCAGAGTTGGGGAGCCTAAACAAAGTAGGCTCAACAGGGCACCTAGCGGACCCCAGGTGCACAGAGAGGCAGCTGGCGGACCCAACGAGGCAGGGGATTCTGGAGGGGAGTGTTGTGCAAGGTGGCTGGTAGGCCAAGCAGTCCCATATTTGTGCACAGATAACCAGGTGAAACTGAGGAGTGAGACAGACCTCGCAACCGAGGGTCCCAGCATGGGGATATAAAACCTCAAAACATTGATTGAAAACACCTGTGGGGGTTGAGGTGCTGTGAAAAACTCCCAGCCTCACAGGAGAGTTTGTTGGAGAAAACCACAGGGTCCCAGGATGTACACAAGCCCACCCACACGGGAATCAGCACCAGAAGGGCCCAATTTGCTTGTGGGAAGCAGGGGAAGTGACTGAAATCTGGCAGAGAGCAGAGCACGCGCCATTATTCCTTCTCAGACACCTGTCCCGCATACAGCGTCACAACCCAGTAATGTGGGTTGCCCTATAGGGGTGAACACCTAAAGCTCTGCCCCTCACTATGTAACAGGCATGTCAAGACAAAAAAATAGCCCAAAGGAAAGAACAGATCAAAGCTCCAGAAAAAATACAGCTAAGCAATGAAGAGATAGCAGCCAACCTATCAGATGCACAGTTCAAGACACTGGTGATCAGGATGCTCACAGAATTGGTTGAATTTGGTCACAAATTAGATGAAAAGATGAAGGCTACGCTAAGTTAAATAAAGGAAAATGTACAGGGAACCAGTAGTGATGGGAAGAAAACTGGGACTCAGTGGAGTGGACCAGAAGGAAGAAAGAATCATCCAATCAGAAAAAAATGAAGAAACAAGAATTCAAAAAAATGAGGAGAGGCTTAGGAACCTCCAGGACATCTTTAAATGTTCCAACATCAGAATTATAGGGGTACCAGAAGGGGAAGAGGAACAGTGACGAGTGGAAAACTTATCTGAACAAATAATAAAGGAGAACTTCCCCATTCTGGCAAAGGAAATAGACTTCTAGGAAATCCAGGATTCTCAGAGAATCCTGAAGAAGTTGGACCCATGGAGGAACACACCAAGGCACAATAGAATTACATTACCCAAGACTAAAATGAAGGAGAGAATCCTAGAAGCAGCAAGAGATAAGGGAACAGTCACCTACAGAGGAGTTCCCATCAGACTGTCAGCGGATTTCTCAAAAGAGACCTTACAGGCAAGAAGGGGCTGGAAAGAAGTATTTCAGGTCATGAAAGGTAAGGACCTACATCCATGATTGCTCTATCCAGCAAAGCTTTCATTTAGAATGAAGGGCAGATAAAGTGCTTCTCAGATAAGGTCAAGTTCAAGGAGTTCCTCATCACCAAGCCCTTATTATATGAAATGTTAAAGGGACTTATCTAGGGAAAAGAAGATAAAAAACCTGTATAGTAAAATGACAGCAAACTCACAATAATTAACAACCACACCTAAAACAGAAAGAAAAACAAACTAAGCCAACAACTAGAACAGGAATAAAACCACATAAATGGAGACCACATGGAAGGTTATCAATAGGGGCATGGGGGGGGGGAGAAGAGAGGGAGGTACAGAGAATAAGTAATATAGAAAAGAAAAATAGACAGGGGGAGGGTAGGAATAGTATGGGAAATGTAGAAGCCAAGAACTTACAAGTATGACACATGGATGTGAACTAAAGGTGGGGGAGGAATGTGGATGGGAGGGGGTGTGCAGGGGGGAAATGGGACAACTGTAATAGCATAATCAATAAAATATTTTTTTTAAAAAACCTTGACTTGAATTGTTGGTGAGGGACCCTCAACATAAATATAAAAACCCTGTTTTTATATTTAAACCCCTACCAGTTTAACACTGTAATAAAATATATTACCTGTGTTTTTAGAAAAAGATCTCATGAATTTACTTTTTTTTTTAACTAAAAACGAATAGTAATAAATAATAAAATATGCCAAAGTTTGATGGAAAATATTTACAAACTTCTATCTGCTATCAAATTATGGTCTGATTCTAAGATACCATCCACATATTTGGGTTCTTCTTAATAAAAACCATTTTATAGTCTTCACAACTATAAACTATGTTAGCACAAATTCTAATTTTTTATAATTTTTTTTAACCCATAAAATTTGCAGGTACTTTTCACTTACTGAATTAGAAATTATATTTTATGAATATTTAAAATATAATTTTTTTAAAGATTTAATTTATTTATCTTTAGAGGGGAAAGGAAGGAGAGAGGGAGAGAAATATCAATGTATGGTTGCCTCTGGTGTGTCCCCTGCTGGGAACTGGCCTGCAACCCAGGCATGTGCCCTGACTGGGAATCGAACCGTGGTTGCTTGGTTCCCAGGCCCGCGCTCAATCCACTGAGCTACACCAGCCAGGGACCCTATTTTATGGGGGGACCGTATTTTAAATGAATATTTAAAATTTTCATTATCAATTTAGCATATCTAACCATTTCTAATTTTGTCATTACTCTTTGTCTAGGATTCACCAAAAGCCCAACTACGCAGGACAATAGAATGTTGTCGTACCAATTTATGTAACCAGTATTTACAACCTACACTGCCCCCTGTTGTTATAGGTAAGTTAGCAGGGAAATAAATGTATGATTAAAATTTTCAGTAAAATATTTTCTTTGCTTTTACTAATATATAATTTTTCTAGAATTTAAATTTTTAATTTTAATAAGATGTCATAGAAATACATGTTTATTGTTTACTTTCATTGTCAGGTCCATTTTTAGATGGGAGCATTCGATGGCTGGTTGTGCTCATTTCCATGGCTATCTGCATAATTGCTATGATCATCTTCTCCAGCTGCTTTTGTTACAAGTAAGAACTTTTTGATGCAAGATATTTTGTTGAATAGTAGATATAAGTAGTTGTTCTTAAAGCCAATAGGGAGAAACCATTTACTGCTAAATGTAATTTAGAAATCATTAACTTGTATTTGCTGTTTATATCTCCCTAAATTAACTAGATTATAATTTTCTTTTTTTTAATGTTTATTTATTTATCTTTAGAGGGGAAGAGAAGGTGAGAAGGAGAGAAATATCAATGTATGGTTGCCTCTCATGGGTCCCCTGCGGGGGACTGGCCTGCAACCCAGGCATGTGCCCTGACTGGGAAGCAAACCATGATCCTTTGTTTCGCAGGCCGGCGCTCAATCCACTGAGCTACACCAGCCAGGGCTAGATTAGAATTTTCTTAAGGGAAGAGAGGATCTTACTACCAATAATTTAATTAGACACAACTTTATATTTCTTGTGATGCTCATGAGTACTTACCATTTTCTTATTTTATGCAGTATTTAACTTTCTTATATCTGAATGTTTAAACCCTGTTTCAAAAAACCAACTATATTATTATTCTTTAGTTATTTGGGGCTTAAGAATTGTTTATATTCTGTTATGATTTCAAAAGAAATTGCCAGGAGAGAAAAAATAATAAGAGGAGAGCATAAACTCCTAAAGTAAAATGTTATTTATTTTATTCATTTCACAGACGAATGAATACAAAGAGATTAGTGACAGGTTACTAAACCTATAAATAAACACAAGTATATAAGGAAATTTAGTATCTGATAAAAGTAACATTTCAAGTCACCGAGGAAAAGGTGGATTAATAAGTAGATTTGGGAGTAGGTAGCTATATGGGAAAAAATGAAGTTGAATCAATTCCTAAACAAAAATAAATTTTAACGAGATTGGAACTAGGTATATACAAAATGAAATGATTAAAGTACTAGAGCAAACCACACAGGAATTTTATAAAATAACCTGGCTGGTGTGGCTAGGTGGATTGAGTGCTGGCCTGTGAACCCCAAAGGGTCACTGGTTCAATTCCTACCCAGTCAGGGCACATTCCTGGCTTGTCGTCCAGGTCCCCAGTGGGGATTGCATGAGAGGCAACCACACACTGATGTTTCTCTCCCTCTCTTTTTCTCTTCCTTCCCCTCTCTCTAAAAATAAAAATAATCTCAGAGGGTGGAAGATATTTGAGAGTCTGACACAAAATGTAGAGGTAAAAAATCCTTAAAAAAAAGAAAAGATTGGCAGTGTCAACTACACAGAAAAACAACTTCACTATGTGGAAGAAACCACCCTGTATGGCCAGAAGACAGACTAGCAGTGAAACACATGGTCAGTTCATGTAAAGAACTGGTTTCTTGAATGTAAAGAACTTCTATAAATCAGAAGAAAATCTAATAAGTCATTAGGAAAGTGGGCCACAAAATGAACACATTATTTATCCAAAAAGAAATGCATGTGGCTCTTAAAAGAAAAATTGAAAGATGACTGAAAAATGCTCATAATGGCATGTACACGTGGAACAGACTAATAGCATTTGGTGGGAGGGTGGGGGCAGCTGGATGCTGGATGAAAGAAGGTGAAGAGATTAGCCAAAGGACAAAAATGCATAATCCGTACACCCAGAAAACAGTGTGGTGATGGCCAGAGGGAAGGAAGGGTGGGAGCTGGGTGGAGGTGGGCAAAGGGGGGGAAATGGAGACATCTGTAATAGTGTCAACAATAAAAATTAAAAAGAATACTCATAGTATGAAAAATATAAATTGAAATCATACTGAGATCATTGTTTTTCACCTATTATACTGACAAAGATTCAAATGTTTGATAATAGGTCTTTGAGATGAAGGAGCAGCTTGAGCATAGTTATTTACTTTTGCTCCCCAGAGTCAAACAGCAATAGTTTTTAACTTCTTTGTCCAGCTAAGACAAAGAGCACAAGAATCTTTGGAACTATTATAGCAGAAATCTTTGGAACTGTGAAACATATGGATGAACAATAAGTGACTTTACAGACCTAAAAAAATCTGAACCCAAGGCCAGAAATTGATAGTGAAAAGGCAAACCGTTTATACTGTAGAGCTCCTTGAGAAGCTCAGGAGTTGGTAGTACTAGTTATCTCTGAAAGTGATGCTGAGAGTAGAAGTAAAACCAAGCAAATTGCCTGCCAGTCTGTTTTTAGCAAGTCATGCTCTGTCTTGGCAATCTAATGTTGCATTAAGAAATCACTCCCAAATTTGGTATTTCAAAACTGCAATTATTATCTCTCACTGTTTCTGTGGGTCAGGAATTCAAGAGTAACTTGTCTGGTTGGTTCAGGATCTCACATGAAGACTTGACTGGAGCTGGTAGATCACCTTCCAAGGTAGCTCACTCCAAGGCTTTTAAGTTGGCAAGTGACCTTAGTTCTTCTCATGGTACCCTGTCCACAGAGCTAATTGAAGCTTGGCTTCCCTCCATAATGAGTGATCTAAGAGACTAAGGTGGAAACTGCAGTGCTATTATATGATCTAGAGCAGCGATTTTCAACCAGTGTGCCACAATAATTTTTTAAAACCCGCCCTGGCTGGTTGTACCCGCCCTGGCTGGTGTGACTTAGGGCATTGAGCACTGACCTGCGAACCCACAGGTCACTGATTTGATTCCCAGTCAGGGCACATGCCTCAGTTGCAGGCCAGGTGCCTAGCTGGGGACCTGTGAGAGGCATGCAATATTTCATACATTGATGTTTCTCTCCCTTTCTTTCTTCTTCCCTTCCCTTCTCTGTAAAAGTAAATAAATAAAATCTTTTTTTTAATCTCATAAAAAATACCTTGTAATACCTGACTGTTTAGTCCTGGGCACTGACTGACCTCTTCCCTCAGTCTGTCAAATAAAGTGACAACATCCAACACAACAATAGCCATCTGGTGTGAATGAATCAAAATTATACCTATATTTCTGTCAGATTTCCAAATAATGTATTTTTGGTGTGCCATGGAATTTTAGTAGTTTATGTGTGTGCCATAAGATGAAAAAGGTTGAAAATTGCTGTTCTAGACTCAGAAGCCACATTATTACTGCTGCCATATTCTCTTGGTCACACAGGTCAGCCCTAAGTACATTATGAAAGGGAAGTAAATAAGGGAATGCATACCAAGAGGTGAGGATCTTTGTAGGCCATTTTGCAAGTCGTATACCACAGACATTGAGATCCCCACTTCCATTCTGAATGATCACATCTGACTTCCCCATCATCTATCTCCCTAACAGAAGGCTAGTAACTGTAATCTCTGGAAAGAACAAAAATAAGGTTCTCATCTGTGATACCCTACTATTGAGGGTGAGGTATTATAGTGATAGCAAGGAGGTAAACTGAACATTTATGTACTGATTGGTAGGTCCCTCAACCCTCCAGTACCCTGTCAGATAGGCTTGTTAAAGATGGAAGATTCTCATAGAGGAAATCCATTCAGTCCAAGAGAAAAATACTAAACATAATGACTTTTGGGCCCAGTGAACTGGCCCAGGAAGATTTATCTTACAGGGAAGCCTGTAATCAGTAAGACCCACTCACATACTAACAGCTGCCAATCAGATAGTAAAAGGACATTTGATCCCTGAAAATTAGGAAACAAGTGGGTTTCTGGCTGCACAACACAGGAGGAACCCAATGTAACCCAGCAGAATCTGAATCGAGGACATATAGTTGAAAGTCTGGGGAGACAATAGCAGCTACAGTTTGTAAGAGTACTGGAGAGGAGAGAGCCTTGCATAAAAAGAATCTGGAGATCTGCATAAGGTTGCCATTGAATATTTAGCTGATTCCTCACAGGTGAGGACAAGTGAGGAAACTACCTAAGGCTGGGAATAGAGGTTTTCCCTCCAGCTATGAGACTTGAAAACCCTTGTAATTTACAGGGCATTGGTTAGAGTACTCAGAAGGGTCTTGCCTCAATATTGCAGAATAATTAACTCTATATTAAACATGGTTTTGGTCCTGTCTCAAAAACAAGACCCAAATGGATTGGATCTTTTTCAGGTAGTTACGTTCTCAAACAAAGCTCAAGAATATTTACAGAATTACAGAGATATCTAGCATCCAGCAAAGTAAAATTCACAGAATCTGCCATTCAATCAAAGATTATCAGGTCAATACTAACTTGAACTGTTGTAGGTTTTTAGAATTAGCAGACATGGACATTAAAACAGTAATTATAACTATATTTTATATATTCAAGTTAAATAGAGACATGGAAGATGTTTTTTAAGACACCAATCTCACTTCAGGAAATGAAATCTATAATATCTGAGGTGAATTATACACTGGGTAAGATTAATGGCAGTGAACATGAAGACAGCAATAGAAACTAAACATTTAAAAAAGAACATAAAAATGAGTCACACACCATTGAGCTATGGCACTTAAATGGACACACACACACAGACACACACACACCACCCCCCACCCCCACCCCTGCACCCCCAACCCCTGGCTGGTCTGGCTCAGTGGATTGAGTGCCAGCCTGTGAAGCAGAGGGTCACCAATTCTATTCCCAATCAGGGCACCTGCCTGGATTGCTGGCCAAGTTCCCAGTAGGTGGCATGCAAAAAGCAACCACATGTTGATGTTTCCCTCTCTTTCTTCCTCCTTTCCCCTCTCTCTAAAAATAAATAAATAAATCTTTTTTTTAAGGACTTAAAAATGAATCAAGCACCCATGAGCTATGGCACTTAAATATATATAAAATTAGAGTTTCCAAAGAAGAGGAGGAGACAGGAAAAGTATTTTAAGAAATAATGACCCCCAAAATTTCCAAATTTAGTGAAAGCTATAAACTCATAGATCCAGAAGGCTCAGCAAACCCTTAGCACAAGAAACATGAAGATAACTACACCAGGGCACATCATAATCAAATTGCTCAAAACTAGTGATAAAGAAAAAAATTTTAAATGCAGCCAGAGGGAAGAAGGCAGATTATATACAAAGGACTGAAAAGGCTGTCCTCCATGAAACCTACTTTTCATGGGAAACAGTGCATGGAA